CGGACACGAGCGTCGCCTCGGCGGCTCTGAACCGGAACCTCAATCGAGTTTCTTCTGTTCTAGAAGACCTTTCACAAAGCCCTTAGTCAAATGTAGTTCACTATATTTTCATCTATGCAGTCGTCGGATTGAAGTCTTCACGCTAGACAAGAATTGCCATAAAATGAAACTAACTTAAATTTCCTAGTGGTATATTCCGCTCAATTTCTTTGATTGTAACTTTAGTACAAAAAATAATCACGAAACCCGCTTGCAAACTCTACGCGTTACTGGAATACGTACCTGGGAATGAATTGTTTTTCTCGAAGTAGTAATTTCGGTGTTTATTACTGTCGAATGAGATGAGTTTCCATAAATGAAATTTAAGTGTTTATTTGTAGTCTATGGTGTACCGTACATGTAACTGAACCCAAAAGTTCCCCAGACTCATAGTTCAACTATTTTTGAATTTGGAGAGAAGTTAGGTTAATTAGTGAGAGTAGCAATTACGTTATAATATTTAGAAGCTGATATCGTACAGTGAAATTATTCTGTTCATCATTAGAAATTGATGTAGTGTACGTCATTAAATTTGTAAAATATGCGATTATTGATATTGGAATTTTGTTCTCAGGGCATACGAAAATCAATTATAAAAAGCTAGATAAAATCTACACTTCCATTTGAAGTTTTAGTTTTCAAAAAACTATAAAACTAAGCAGAAGAAGTATAATATCGCACCACGTTTACATTCACTTCTAGAATCTCTATTTTACACTTTACTAACATAGTTTACATGATGATATACATAACATGTGTGCAGCGTTTTAAAGTTAAATATCATGTTGGCTCTGAAATTTTTCTATTTTAAAAAACTTTATTCTGCATCTGCAAATGAACTACTGTTTGATTCATAGAATGGTTGGCACAGTGTCCCCCCCCCGGCAATACTACCGCAAATAGCAAATGGAGAGTGAACAAAAAAGGCGACGTAATAGAAGTACATTTACGCCGGAAGAAAAACAAGAGATCAATCTCTAGCATTCGGCTCACGATCACGGAAACTGACGACACTGATGTTAAGCCGCATCTGATTGAGGTTTTCTGGTTTACTCAATCGCTAAGCGTCTGCCGGTGTCCTTAGATTGTTTCCCAGACGTAATGTACACTTGGTCCTCCCTCTTAAAATGTTACTACTCTAAATTGTATGTAAATTCAGTGGTTTAGGCGGAAGCAAGGCTATGGCCTGGCCGTCGCCATATAAAGACATTTATTATTATTATTATATTATTATTATTATTATTATTATTATTATTATTAGTTATATTATTGTTATTACTATTATTATTATATTTATTAATCTATATTATTATTATTATTATTATTATATTATTATTATGAATACGAGCTCTGCATGTCTGACCAAACATCAGAAGGTTATTCAAGAGCCTAATATGAAATATGTTTATGAACAGCTAATAATGATTCAAGTTATTAAAATTTGTATTGATATACACATCGAGAGGAAACATTCTTGTGTGCTTCATATCGTACTACGTGTGTTCCATAATATGTGTTCATGATATTATGTAAGAAAAGGGAGAAGCCAAGAAAAAATTATCTTGCTTTCGAACACAGAATAGGTTTCCTCAATGACTGAAAAATACATTAGAATAATGCGTTTTACAGGTACAAATAGATAATGTCTTTACAGGGGCGGTCATAAAGGGATATAGCCCTGCCTCCCTACTGAGGACCCACTGACATGCAGGCAACATTTTACGCCACGATTTAACCTTCTCCCTTTCCGTAGCAGTTTTCCTTTCAGAGTGCCCGCGGGTATTGGAATACAATATTGCTACGTATTTTGAAGTTATGTTGAAAAAGGGAAAGAGATAAAGAGGGGAGAAAGAAGAAGATGGAAGAGAAAGAGAGACAGAGAAAAAAAGAGTTCAGAGCAGACAGGCAATGTTTTACGTATTTTTTTTTTTTTTATTTTTTATCTTGCAATGGGAATGAAAAATTTTCAGGGTTAATATATTTTAAGGTCGGAATGTGCTTCAAGAAAAATAAGAAATGGTTTAGGCTTAAATTTTTTTTGAAATATTATTATATTAACGAACTAGTTGACAAGTATAAAATAAGTATCGTTATATTAGAAATAAGTTAATATTATAATTATATTTGGAGTAAAACAATAATGAACTAAAGATTGCCATTCTGTAGTGTGTGTCGTATTATGTGTGCCAGGATTCATAAATGAGTCTTCAGTGATTCGCGTTTTCAGTAGGTCCACATCTATTATTTTGAACTAGCAATTAAAAATAATACGACTTCTTCAGAATAGACCTACATAAAGGAACTTCAAGAAGATATAATGAGAAAGAAACCGTACTGATTCAAGTGGCATTTTATGACCCAGTAGGGAAACGAGGTTGTGTTTTGGTATATGGGAACTGGGAAAAGGAAGTGGGAGATTGAGAAGTTCATACGACGCATGATAGTTTTGCGCAAAGCGATACTACTGGTATGAGAATTTATAGTGTCTTCCATGTATCAATGCAAAACGCTCAAAAAGAACAAAATGTCGCTGCGAATTGTATGGCTCTATTTCCTCAAAGAGATCTATTACATCTGTTTTAATCATCTTGGTTTAACATGCCTAAATTTGCGTTCTTTTTTCACCCATAGTATGTAAACTTTTCTGGAGTGTGGTAGTAAAAGATATAGATAGATACCACACTCTAGGGTCAGTAGGCACTGGGCAGTGGTAAAAACGAAGAAGAACCAGAGAGATCGGGTGAGGAGAGAAGCCTCATTTTCCTCTCCCAAACGGACGGGACGGTCCGGAATCGAAAGCGGCGACAGTGGAGCTCATAAGCGCAGCTCTACCCACCTCTCTCGCCACGCTTGTCAGTCTTCAAAGGACTGAACGCCAGCAAGAAACGCAACAAATTGGTAACTAAAAACTGACAAATTTTGCGTTAAATTCAAATCTTTTTTAAAAAACCATTGCTATGCTAAGCTACCCAAGTTTTTAAGTATTTTGAAATTAAATCAAATTGATACTTTTTTGTTGTTTAATTTGTTATGTCAAAAATACAAATTTTCGCTTTCTTGACCCTTTATTTCTTTTTTGGAATATAGAGCAACAAAAAGCGACAAATTCTATGTAATTATTTTTTATTATACTGTTAATTCTTGGTTTTCTTGTGATTGCGGTGCTAACGTGATTCAATCTTTGGGGCACGCATTTGCGTAAAATCGTTATATCTGGTATTATTAAAATAGTAACAAACAAATTATTTTTGGGAACAATTAAGCAACAAAAAGCAAGAAACATTACAACGCAAATTATTTTTATAAATCTCTGCAATTTCTTGGTTTTCTTTTCATTCTGGGATGCTACTGAAGTCAGTTAGCGGCACGTTTAGTATTCGGACCAAATGAAGAGCGCAAATTTAGTTTTGCGTAACAAATTAACAACAAAAAGCTAAATATGTTGAAGTTTCATTCAATAGTCTTTGGAAACTTTCCTTTGCTAAACTGAGGCGCTGGCAGGGCGTCGCGCGTGCTTGCCTGCACGGCTACATATTTCACCCAGCGCGAATGCAGCGGCCTGCAGCCCATTCACAAGAGGCGCGCGCCTTTCTTCACTTTCTGTCCGCAGCCCTTTTCTCCTCTGCGAGCGGCCCAGCCGCGGATTATGCTGCATCTCAAGGGACGTCTTGCTCGGCCCAGGCGTCTTTCAAGCACTGCCACCGCGCTCCGAGCGATGGCAGGGCGGGGCGCCTGTCGCGCAGCTTCCACAGCGCGCTGGACGCGCCTAGGCGGCGCGGCGGCGGGCGGCGATCCGTCCGGGTGAAGGGCAGCGCACGGCGGCGAGAGTCCTGGGTGCGCGGGCCAAGCGCGGGGCGGCGCCGCTGAACGCGAGAGCCCAGGAATGCCATCCGGAGGTGCGGCCCCCCCGCCCCGCCGCCTCCCGCCCGCCCGGCCGTGCTGCGCCACCGCCGCCTCGGCTCCGCGGCCTCTGGCTCTACTGCACGCCCTGCACGCCTACCTCGGCCGCCCACCGCCCGGGGCGCCGGCGGCGAGCCCCGCATAAATCTCTGCGCGTCGCCCCCGCCCGCCCGCCCCGCGCTGTCCAGCCGGCCTTCCCCGAAATCCGCGGCCAGTGCGGCGTGCGGCGCGGCGGGGGAAGCGGCGGCGGCGCGCGCCTGGCCGAGGCGCCGCGCCCTCGGGGCTCTCGCGCGCCGCGCGCGCCGCCGCGTTCCCCGCGCCCGGCGCGTGACTCCACCGCCCACTCCGCGCTCGCGCCCGGCCGCCCGGCCGCCGCGCCGCCATTCATGGAGGGTCGCATTGACGGCGCTGCAGACGTCGCGCCGACGCCAGCCGCACTCGCGTCTTTCGGCTCGCGCACTCCGCTGACCCGCCGGCGCCGGCCCCGCCCCGAGCGCACATAGAGCGTAGAGCGCTCGCCACCGTGGCAGCCGTCGCTCGCCTCAGCCGCGTCGCCGCCCGCGGATGAGTGGCGCGGTTCCGCGCGGGGGTGCTGGTCTGTGCCGTCGGCTGGCAGCCGCCGCCGTCGTCGCACAGGTGATGTGCGCGAGCGCTCAGAGCGCTGGCAGCGGCGAGAGGCGACCCGCGCGCGCACCGCGACGCTGGGCGGAAGCCGTGCCGGGACGGGGCACGGGGCGCGGCCGAGAGAGCGCACCTGGGCCGCCGCCGCCCCGGGAGCGAGCGAGCGCGGGCGGGCGCGGGGCGCAGCTGGCGCCGGGCGGTGGGCGTCGGGCCGGCATGCAAGTGCCCGGCACGGCTCGCCCCGCCCGCCTCGCCGCCCCCCGCGCGGCACGCACGCAAGCCGCCCGTTCCGCAGCCCGCTGGATAAGATGGCGCTGCGCGCTGGTGCGGGTGCGGCGTGCGCTCCGACGCCCATGCGCGCCCGCGCGCGCCGCTACCGCCGCACAGGCCCGCGTTCTTGTGCAACGCGCATCTCGCGGCCATCCCTTCCCCGTCCTCCGCTAGTCTCCGTCCTCGCCCTCGTCCTCCGCCGCAGGAGGAAACCGACTGCTTTTTTGCGTCAAGAGCTGCCCGTGGGGTGCCGAGCGCCTTCTCAGGCGGTGGCGCCGAGGGGGGAGGGACCGGGAGGGGTGAAGCGGACGTCCGGGCGGCACCCGCAGGAAACGGCGTGGAGAAGGGACGACGGGGGCGAGCGGGGCGGCAAGGGCTCGGCCGCGTTTGCAGGCGAGCGCTCGACGCCACGCCACGCTCCGAAGCCAGCTCCGCGCACGCTCGTGCCACGCTCTGGGCCGGCGCCGCCGCGGCCCGGAGCAGCCACTTGCTAGGCCGAGCATCGCGGCGGTCACGGCTCGCGCCGCCCGCCCGCCCGGCGTCTGGTACGCGACGGCGAGCCGGTGCGGGCGCGGGCTCGGGCGAGGGCTCGAGGCGGTGGGCGGGGCGCCTGGCCGGAAGCGCGCGCCGGCCGCCCCACCAACAGATCCCTCGCCTCCAGCCCTCCGCATGTGCTCCCGCCCGAGTCTCTCCCTGGTACTGCAGCCCCGCCTCTCAACGCCACTCTCTACCTTCCCCTCTCTCGTCTTTCTCTGTCTGCTTTCTGAGCGCTCGGTGTCCGCCACAGCCGAAATGTTCTTCGCGGAGGGCTCACCCTACAAAGGATTCTGTTGTCGCATGTCGAAACCTGTCATCATTTTCTTTTCCAGACATGGTTGAGGTCACATGTAGCTGATAAGTAAAGTTTAGCTGCCGAACAATTTGCAAATAAAATAAATTAAATGAAACTGTATTTTATAAAGTGAAACAACATTTTAAACCGTGTTTTTGCAGCTTCAAATCTTTTGATTGCACAGCCCTGCTCTTCGTCAGTTAGGAATAAGCAACAGTAGAAATGCAGCAGACCAGCGTCTTTAGCGATTGCTCTGAGGGAGGAATTTTTCTTACTGACGCCAACATAGCATTAATCCAATATTTTCCAATATTTAAGAAACTTCCCATTTTTCTAGCGGCTAAATTCTGCCGTTGTACCAAAAGTGACAAGTCATCTCGAAAAAAAATAAACGTGGTTTCGACTAAAATGACAGACCATTCCCTTGACGAAATAACCGTCATGAACTTTGTTCCAGTTGCCTCTATGACACGCTAGAGCCTAGCTCAAGCCAGAATTCTTTCGTGGGAGCCCGCACTTAAATAAATGCAATATCAACGATGAAAAAAAGCTTCACAACTCATACATCATTTTTCCGCAGAAATATAATTTTATTTTGAACGGAGCTCTTCATATCACCGGTCAATACACAAATGTCTTAGCTCTTTTACCGGCAATATTGTGAATCTGCTTTATGACTATTTACTCTTCAAAAGAATGATTTTAAAATCGTTCATTCTCTCAATTTAACTAAAAAAATGAAAAGTTTTTCGTGTACGTGTTCCTTTTTGACGTACTCTCAGGCCGCGACGCATATTCAACCCATCTCCCTTACACAGAATTGCCCTTCGGAAAGATCTCGTTACGCTCCTTTACTCGAACGGGTCCATCTTCCCCGCAGCCTGCGCTCTCGGAGGATCAGCATCAACCAGGGTGGATCCAGAAGACGAGTGTTTGGGAGAGGAATTCAAATGTTTTCGTCAAATATGTATATTACAATTTGTAAAACGTCCAGGCTACACTCTGCTCATGTGCAATACGATTTTTATTCGTTTAATGATAATCCGAAAATATGTTTTGTTAAAGTTTCGTACAAGTTATAAATTGTAGTTACTGAAACATTTTTAGGGGAGAAATACCTTATCCCTCTCCTTTCTCGCTGACATATAACCCATCTTTTTTCGAAGTTACAGTTGACTGCATTGCGCGATTCCTGGGTAACCGATCCTGTGTGTTAACTTGATGCTGACATAAAAACATCTATGTAGAACGGAACAGTTAGGATATCATTCATTTCTGCAGATTGCGAACGAACATGTGCTTGCGTGACCTCACCGTTTCTAGGAAATGAAACTTCCACTGATTTGATATCGTATTTGCTGTCAACATTGTATATCGCTTTGCAATTTTCCACGCTCATTTTTGTTGTCTTTTTGTGCTGTTCATAGATTATTACTATGAAATTTGTGTATTGTGGTGGTATTGTTGGAAACTTTGAATTATTTATCATTTGTATTTTCTTTTAAGTGAGGTAGAACATTGTGCCGTTTCGAACCATTTGCCAAAAGTGAAAATTGGATTATCGAGGAACTTCTTCGTATTTTTCTGTATCCAATTACGTCAGATAATGTTGGTAAAACTTCGTAGATATCCATACCTAATTTGCTGTTCAGACGGAAGCGTTCGACTGTCTGATGGTCTCCGCCCTCCTCCTGGATGTTTTTGTTTGAAATATTAATTTCACCTACTGCATTATACGTTGAGTATTATTTATGTATTTAAAGCAAGTATAAATTTTTACTTTTTGGAAAAGTCGTTATTGAGCCACTTTCTCTTTCATCAGGCTGTTTTTTGTTGCTTTAGGGCACTAGTTTCATTATTATTTCTCTGGTTAGAGCATGATTTATACGAGCCATATTTTCACTCGTTAGACATGGGGATCGAAACGTTGTCATATATCATATAAACATAAATGTCATCCGAAATATAGAAAAACCTACTACTACTACTACTTCTACTACTACTACTACTACTACTACTACTACTACTACTTCTACTACTACTTCTACTGCTGCTACTACTGCTACTTCTACTACTACTACTACTACTACTACTACTACTACTACCACTACTACTACTACTACTATGCTACTGCTATTACCACTGCTACTACCACAACTATTGCCACTACTACTACTACCACTATTACTACCACTGCTACTACTACTACTACTAATAGAAATAATAGTAGTATTAATAATAATAATAACCATAACAATGACAACAAATTAATAATCATTGCAGCATATAAGCCTCCCAATAAGAGATTGCCTGAAAAGACTTAAAGAAAAATATTTACCTCATATAATCGTATTAATCTCTTAGGAGATTTGAATAGCAAATTTACACCTTGGGGCTGTACGTTGTCGGCATAGTCATAACTACAAATATTAATTTTCCACTATACCAAATAGTAGTAGCGGAATTAGATTCAGATCATAATCCGATCCGAATATCATACAAAGAAAATTTTAAAGAAATTACATTAGGAAATAACCCTTTAGAAAAAAACACATCAATTGGTCTGAATTCGCTGAACTAATACAAAATAACTATAAAAATCAACTTCCTAATTTGATGATTGCAAATATCGACTCCGGATTAGAAGAGTTTAATGCAGCTAATTTTAAATCTCTGGACCGATCAATAATACCAAAATATATCCCCATAGTTACAATACTAAATATAAATTATTCTCTTCCCCTATTCCATGGAACCATTTTAATTTAATTAAATCGAAACATTATTTAAGAAGATTTTGGCAAATAACTCTAAGACCATATTTAAAAGTGAAACTAAATAAATTATCAAGAGTAGTCAAAAATAGATTAGATAATCACCGCGACGCTTCATTCGGCAATTTATAAACCAAATTGATCCTAGTTCAGCACATCTCTGGACAACAAAAACAATCGCTAGATATGAAAACAAAGTATCCGAATTAAAAATGAACAATAAGCTACTGCATTCAGATGTTCGTAAAGCCAAAGCGATGGCAGATCATTTGCAAAATGTATTTAGACCACACCCTCCAACAACAATAAAACATAACAATGAAATTGTAAATTTTATGAAACAACCACTAATTACAGCTGGAACCAAAATAAAGTTTATTTCATCGTCTGAAACGGCCAATATCATAAAACATTTAAAACAACGAAAACCATCCGGTATTGATGGAATCAGCAATAAGATTCGCAAAAATCTCAATAATAACTCTATAGCAGGACTGCAATATTTAATGTATCTTACAATTTAACTATTTCCTCATTACTTGGAAGACTGCAGTTGTCTTTCCTTCCCGCAAGCCAGGAACAGATCCTCGACGCCTTGAACATTACAAAACCAATAAGTCTCCTACCCTCAATTTCTACGGTTTTTGAGAGGCTTCTACTAAAGAGACTTAACAAATACCTGACAGACACCGAATCAATACCAGATATTCAATTTGGTTTCAGAGCAAATCACTTCTGCACACACCTGCTAAGGCTAAGGCTTACTGAGTACATTGCACAGAGCTTCCAAGAGAGAAAACATACTCTAGCCGCATTTCTAGATATTGCACAAGCATACTACAGAATTTGGCATACCGGTCTGTTATTTAAAATAAGACAACTCAGAGTCCCAAAGTATATTCAGAATATTATGAAATGCCTTATCTCTGATAGAAAAGTTAAGGTCAAAAGTAATCACTCATTTTCTACTCTTCATAATATCACAGCCGGAGTTCCTCAGGGCTCAGTTCTCTCACCTACTTTATTTAATATCTTCGTGAGTGACATACCCAAATATTCCAACTTAGAAACTGCTCTTTTTGCTGACGATAAGGCAGTGTTTTCAGCAATCTCACATATCAACCTGGCATATAATAGAGTCCAGAATAATCTTAACATCTTAATGCAATGGACAAAAATTGGAGAATCGCAATCAACCCTCAACAATGCCAGACTATGATATTTACTCTTAGGAGACCTCAAAACTCTCCCTATCTGAAAATAGATGACAGCGAAATACCTTGAAAAAGTGAATCAATAAAGTATCTTGGAGTATTGTTAGACAAGAAACTTTCCTGGAAACCCCATATTCACGGAACTACCAACAAATCCAATGCCAACATATTAAAACTATACCCTTTTATAAATCAACATTCAACACTCAATACCAAATTCCAGATTCTATTATAAAAATCTATTATCCTATCCACACTAACGTATGCTTGCCCAGTGTGGGAACGCTGCTTCCATCACCATACAAAAAATCCAAATAGTCCAAAATAAAGTCCTTAGGAAGTCAATTAAAGCTCCATGGTTTATTCCTAACCATCAAATTCACAGAGAACTGCAAATGAAAACCGTGCTAGAACACATAAAAAGAGTAGCAAATAATTTATCTTCTTCCCTTCCCTCATCTCATCCCGCTCTGAAATTCCACCTAGGCCGGACAGCAAACATCCCAAGTCGATTCAAATCTAAATTTCCCAAAGATGTGCTTAAACCTCCCTAAATTAATATCATCCCGTGTCTCTGTAGAATCTTTCACGTTTTCCTTCCTATTGCTCGACAGGGCAATCCTAACATTATCCCCCCTCCCCCAAAACAAATCAAGATTAAATTCCTGTAGCTTCTCGATGAAAACAAATGAATTAAATAAGCCAGAGTATTTAACCTCAATTTGTCAAGGAATGCCTTAATCCCAAAAGTCAGCATGTAAAACTGAAACCCCTCGAAAGACCTTTGGTCGAACGAGAAGAAATAAATTTAAAAAAAGAACTCGATTCGGTTAACAAAGGGAATACAAAGAAAGAAAATGTTCCAACAGTGCAAGAGCCATTCAAGGGTATAATATTAAAAGTTCTGAAATATTTTGTGTCTGAAAATTGTAAAACCGAAGGTCGATAAATCATGGGTTCTGGAGTAGGATCTGCGAAAATTATGAAGAAAAAAT